CCCTGCCCTATGGCTCGGGTGCCCTGACGCCTGGGGTTTGTTCGTGTGTCCGTCAGGCTAAGTAGCCACTTGGCTGCGCCGACGCAGGGGGCAGGAGGTTTCATTTCTGTACCTCGCCTGGGACGAGAGTTCTCCGGCCTCAGCTGCTCGCTTTGTGCCGTCATTAAGTTCACTTCAGAAGCACCAGGAGGCAGCGTGGCCTAGTGGATACAGCACTGCCCTGGGAGTCAGGAGAGCTGGGTTGGGCACTGGCCTGCTGGGTGACCTTGAACCCGTCACTTTCCCGCCCGGTGCCTCAGTTTCCCCATTGTACAGATGGGGATAATGACCATGACCTGCTTTGTAGCCAGGCATTATTTTCTTTCTTAAAATCTGTGACAATTTAAGCCGGTTGGGCCGTAGGGAGCTCCTGCTGCCAGGTCGCTGCCTGGAAATGTGATGGCCACGTGCTGCAGGAAGGGAGACGTCTCTGTCTAGCCACGTCTCTAGCTCCTACCCCGTCCATCCGTCATCGCTAGATCCCAGCGTGTCTGTCTGTCTGTCCCCCTGGTGAATAGCTCCAAGTTCAGAGCCTCCCAGCAGGGACAGAGTGAAATTGACCTGATCTGGATCAGTCTCACAGCAGTCCTGAAACTGACCAGATTCTTGCCAATTTCCCTTTGCTGCTGCTGCAGGGGAAACTCTGGGCAGCAGCCCAGCACAGGCGCTACCTGTCTGCAGACTCAGGAAGGCAGCACAGCAGCTGTGAATCATCTCCCCCACCAGACGGGCTGGGAACGTCAGTGCATTGATTTTAAATGAGTGCTGAACCCTGCAGGGGCTCCCGGCTCGGGTCTGTCCCTGAGGGGCAGATTCCCAGCCACAGGGGAATGTTCTTTGGTTTGCCGCCCCCCTTTCTGAGCCGAGACTGACCCGTGTCTGGATTCTCTCCCAGCAGGCGAGGGGCTGGTGAGCGAGACCGAGGAGAATCCCGAACAGGACAGTCCGGAGCCAGCAGAACTGTATGGGACGTTCCCGGGACGTTCCCAGAGCCCTCAGCGGGGAGCGGCCTGCGAGCGTCAGGAAGACAATGCCATGGCGGAGAGAGCGGGTGAGTCCGCACTGTATGGGGCGGATTTTACAGGCCCCCACGGGACCGTGGCCCAGCCCAGAGCCTCCCCGGGAGACAGACTCTTCACGTGTCCCGAGTGCGGGAAGGGCTTCGGCCAGAGCGCGCACCTCATCCGGCACCAGACGGTGCACACGGGGGAGCGGCCCTACAAGTGCCCTGAGTGCGGGAAGGGCTTCAGCCAGAGCTCGGACCTGACCACGCACCGGCGCGTCCACACGGGCGAGGAGCCCTACGCCTGCGCCGAGTGCGGCAAGCGCTTCGCCCAGAGCTCCAACCTGATCCGGCACCAGCGCACCCACACGGCCGAGACCCCCTACCGCTGCCCCGACTGCGGCAAGCGCTTCCGCCGCAGCTCCCACCTCGTCATGCACCAGCGCACCCACACCGGGGAGCGCCCCTACCGCTGCCCCGACTGCGGCAAGCGCTTCAGCCACAGCTCCCACCTGCACCGGCACCAGCGCATCCACACGGGCGAGCGCCCCTACAAGTGCCCCGACTGCGGGAAGAGCTTCGGCGTCAAGTCCACCCTGGTGACGCACCGGCGGGTGCACACGGCCGAGCGGCCCTACGCCTGCGCCGACTGCGGCCGGGCCTTTGCCCAGAGCTCCACCCTCAACCGGCACCGGCGCACGCACGCGGCCGAGCGCCCCTACCGCTGCCCCGACTGCGGCAAGAGCTTCATCCAGAGCTCCAACCTGGTCACCCACCTGATCCTGCACACGGGCGAGCGCCCCTTCCACTGCCCCCGCTGCCAGAAAACCTTCAGCCAGAGCTCCAACCTCAGCCGCCACCAGAGGACTCACGCGGGGCGCCGAGCCCGCCCCTGCCCCGAGTGCGGGGAGAGCGTCCCGCGCGGCGCCGGCCTGTCCGCCCACCAGAGACGCCACGCGGGGCAGGAGACGCCCTCGCCGCCCTGCTAGGGCCAGCTGGTCCCCCTGGTACCCACCCACCAGACGCCACACGGGGCAGGAGACGCCCTCGCTGCCCTGCTAGGGCTGGCTGGTCCCCCCGGTACCAGCCCACCAGACGCCACACGGGGCAGGAGACGCCCTCCCCGCCCTGCTAGGGCCGCCTGGTTCCCCTGGAACCCGCCCACCAGACACCACGTGGGAGAGGAGACCCCGTGGCCGCCCTGCTAGGGCCGGCTGATTCCCCTGGTACCCGCCCACCAGAGACGCCACGTGGGAGAGGAGACCCCCTCGCCGCCCCACCCAGCCAGAGTGAGGGGCGTGCTCCCCTATTCCCTCATGCCTCTCCCAAGTATCCAGCCGCCCCATCCTTGCTAGCAGCTGATCAGACCCCTCCTCTGGGTCTGCCAAGCCCAGGCAGCCCCGATTGGCTCCTCCTTGCTGTCGAGTTCCTGACCCACCTGATGTGGCAGGGGGAGAAGGAACCTGCCACCCCCCTCTGATTCCCCAGCCGTGGAAAACACGTGGGCTGCGTCCTGCCCAGCTGGAGCCGTGTCCCGTGGGGCACTGCCCTCTCCCCTCGGTGCTGCCCAGGGAGCTGAGTGCTGGGGTGGCTCGCGTCTGACGGGCTGTGCCGGGGCTTGGCCGGCAGGACGGAGAGCCAGCCCCGCTCGCTCTCGTTTCCCCGGGTCTCCCCAAGGAGCGTGGCGCTGTGCACCCTGCCAGTGGTACCCTGGAACCCCTGTGGGAAGCTCCCTGCTGCCTGGGGGAGTTGGCCAGCGCCGTCGCCCCCTTCCCGGCTGTATTTAACGAGCTGTATTTACGATGAGGCGTTCCATTCTAGCTCGACTGATAAAAGGCCGATGACGTCGTCCCGGGATGGCTGAGGCCGCCCGGCCGGGCCAGGAGTCCAGCCAGGCTTCTCCTGCGCATCCCTCTGCCTCATTTCTCCTCTTCCCCCTGCCCAGAGAGTTCAGTGCTGGATGGACCCTGCAAGTGATCAATAAACCATGTAGAAAAGACCAGGAGTCGCTGTGTCGGGAAGCTGCAGGGTTTCTGTCGGCTGAGGGTGAGAGTCACAGACCGGGACTCAGAGGCTGAGCTGGGGGTGTGTGTCCCTGATCCCTGCAGTGGGGGGAGGTAGGGGCAGGCAGGGAGCGTGGGAGGACGGTGGTACAGGGTTGGGGGGTTTGTTTCTCAGCCGAGGCTGTGAACACTCTGCACTGGGGAGGGATGGGAGGCAGCCGATGAGTTGTGCTGATGGCAGAGGGATGAAACAGGCACTCCCAGGGGTGGGAGGGGATGTCCCCCGATTGCTGGGACCCTGAGCAGGGCTGAGGTATCCCCCCCCAACTGGACCTGTAGCCGGGCCAAGCCTGTCACTGATGGGAGGGGAAGAAGAGGGGCCCAGCGCCCCAGCAGGTCCCTCCCGCCTGGGCAGGGACGGCAGAGACAGTCTGTCACCCCCACAAGCAGAGCTGGAGACTCCGGGGGGATCAAAGCCTCTGCCGGGATTGGAAAGGCTGACGCTGCCTGTGCTGCTGGTGGATGAGGGGTTAATGCAGCAGGGCCCAGTGGCTGCAGCGTGTGGGGCTAGCAGTGGCCGGGGGGGGGCTAGCAGTGCCTGGCGTGGGGCTAGCAGTGCCTAAGGTGGGGCTAGCAGTGCTGGATTGCAAAGGCTGGGGAGAGGCCCAGGACCGGCAGAGGGGTCAGCTCCGGTTCGGAGGCGTTCACAGGCGGAAGTTTGGAAATGGCGGAAGATAGTAACACAGCTCAGACCAGTGGTGCGTGGGGCTGTGGCCTGAAATGCCCGGCAAGGCGAGCCGCTGGGGAAGGCTGCGTGAGGAGTGAACGAGCGTCTGTCCTCCGGGTCACGGGCGTATGAGCAAGGCCTTTAGCTGCAGAGGGTCACAGGCAAAGCACACGTACATTGAGATTGACGGAGTCCAAAGCCAAACGGGACCACTGTGATCATCTGTCCGACCCCCTGGACAGCACAGGCCAGAGACCTGCCCTATGATCATGAATGGGGCAGATCTCGGAGAAAACCAGCCAGTTGTGATTTAAACATTGTCGGGTGGAGAATCTACCCCAGCCGTTGGTAAATTGTTCCAATGGTTCGTTACCCTCACTGGTAACAATGTGCACCTCACTCCCAGTCGGACTTTGTCTAGATATAAAGCGTGACATGCAGGAAAAGAAGAAACCGTCCTCTTAGTATTTGAAATCACAGGGAAACCAGCACCAATTTCAGTTAGAGTGCACGGAAACAGGACTGAGGCTAGTGCGGAGTGTATAAGATATTAACACATTCGATGACTCTGTAGTTCAAACACACACCACAATTCAAGTCGGCGTGAAAGTTTTCTCAAGTTTATGTCCCACGACTGGGACAGAAGTGAGGTTTGGCAGTTGGAGGGTAGCTTTAGTGTCACGTTACCAGGGAGAGATCTGAGACTGTCTCTCTGGCAATTCTCACTCACACGTGCAGAGACCGGATGGCTGCGGGGGGGAGAAACCAGGCAGAGCAGAACAAGTCACGTAACGAAGTTGCTGGTTCTCAGTAGCACTTCACGTTAGGAGCTGAGTTTAAATAAGACAACGCAGAGCTGAACCATTAAACAAGGAATCGTTAGAGCTCTCCCAACACGCAGGGCAGCCCCCGATTGCGGAAAATACCCAGCAGGACAATTGGGAGCTTACGGTTAGTTCTTGAAGCAACAGCAAAGTAGCTTCAGTAAGTTGGTCCCCGTTGGATCAGCCTTCTCCTACCAAACATGCAAATGTTATTTCCATGCAATTACAGTGCTCTCCGGGTGAGAGACGACCACGGGGATTTAGGCACCGGAACTTTGTTACAGGGCGTTCCATTTACCCCTGGCACTCCGTCCAGAGTCTTAGGAGATTTCAAATCTGAAGGCTATTTCAGTGCTCTTCCCCCCGACACCCCCCCCACACACTTTTTAGTGTGGTTTTACTCGGCATTTCTTTGGAACCAGGATATTTTACTGGGATCTGTGGACGCTGTTAAGTTTAAGAATTTCAGTGGAAAGATCCAGAACACGAATCTGAACTACGAGGGAGGACATGGTTCTCAAAAGACAAGATTTGTGCTTTACAGGGGGGTTCTCTCACCTTCCTTTGGTATCCAGAGTCTCCGGGTGTGATGCTGGGGGTGGGGATTGATTATTGTATTTTTACATAGTTAGGTTTGGCTTGTCAGACAAGCACTTTCTTTCCTCAGGTTCTGTGTATTTGGGACTTCAGACCTCTAAGGTTCCAAAACCCAGATTCTCGTCCATAAAGGACTTTTAGTTAATAGAGACGCCCTCTCGGGAAAGCAAAGTTCCTGACCTTTGCTTACGTGCGTAGGAGGGCTCTTCCCGAGTCGGGAGCGAGACGCCCGGGCGTTCCAGACCTCAGGGGCTTTAGATGAAGGCTGCTCTCAGGGGAAGAGAGTTGGGTCTCTTAGCGGAGAGATCCAACGAACTGGGATTTTGCAACGTTTTGTATACACTTATTTTTCTGTTCAGTTGTACTGAGAGGCTGGCTCGGTTCCAAAAACCGATCAATTTATTGCGTCAATCATCGGCCATTGGGCAGGCCTGGATTTTGGGATAGGTGCAGATTCAGTTGCAAATTGTAAATTTGTCCACTTGGCAGGTCAGAGTGTCACTGCATGTTTCTTACCCACTCAGCTGGCGTGCTGGATCCAGAAATATCCACCTTTCCAGGGCGTCCAGCCTCCCTGGGAATTCCTTAGCGGCTTCGTCAGCGCTGTTAATTCAAATATACACTGACCGAGTCGTTTAAAAGTCGTTTGGCTCAACTTTCTGTTGTTACTTCCTGCGCCATTTCAGCACAGAACGAAAGCTTCTGGTGTAACGTGGTAATTATGTTCTGGGAGTTTTGCTTAATTGCAGAGTTTCAAGGTTTGTTCTTTTTTCTGCTTGTTCTTAACTTTAATTTGAGGAGAGGTCATTCCATCTTTCTCTTAAGAATAAGAAGTTTTCCCCAATTTGATTCTAATTTTAAACAACTTGTAGGTTTATTATCAAAACAATCTCCTAATTCCCAGTAACTAAAATAATCTGGCTATCCCAGGCATTATCCTCAATAACTTAAAAACATTAGTAAAAAAAAGCAAAAATTATATTTCTAACTCATGTTTAATATCATATTTATAATTAAAATAACAATTCCTTTATAGATCATTTCTAGATCAGTAGAATGTAAAGATACATTTCCACATTAACTCTCATACTAATACCAAACACTATTTCTAAGCTAATAAAAAAAACTAATTACAAACACAAATTATAACAAATTTAGCTATATGTATTCAGGCAAATTGTAGGATTTTGTTACCAAAAAAGAATTGAGAGTTGTTACCTTGAGAATTAAATTCTAATTTAAACCTGGGAACGTTGGTGTGAACTTGGACATTAATTCACTTCTTGGCGTACATCTCAAAGTGTTTACATTACAAGAACGGCACCAGGGTCTGGTTCAGTGTAGAGATGAGAGATTTCCCCAGCAGGAAGGGAATCAAGTGTAATAGCTGTGACCTCATCCCCCCTGGACAGCGAATGGTCCCTTGCACGGCCGAGTCGTAGCTACTAGGACTGTGTTTAACGTGACACAAGACTTACACGATGGCCTTCGTTTGTAAACTTCCATGCAACTTTTCGGAGAGCGATGAACATATTTGGTTTAAACAAAAACCTGACTGGAGCCCGTGATCGAATTACATCTTATGCCCGATTCGGTGGATGTTTTAGCCCAGGATCGTGGCTTCTGCGCAGGAGCTGTCCAAGCACAAGGGAGGGGTGGGTGAGTAACTGACTCTCTCTCGAATACTGGAGCGTGGGGGTGTCCGTTTGCCATCTCGTCTCACTGCTCTATGCCTTCTTCAGACAGAAGTGACTCAATCCCTGGCTCCAGAGGGGGCTCTGGCTCAGGAAGGAGGAGGGGAAAGGCGTATGACAGTGCGTGTTCATGGAAAGGTGATTCTGCCCTTTAGCCTGGTCTGGGCCTGGTTTCACGCCAGCTGTTCCATTAGACCGTTGCTGTAGGGCTGCTAATGAAAGGAATATCAAGACGGCCTATTCAGGGGTGAGATTTAATCCTCTTGGCCCGACAAGGAGAAAACCCAGCTGTTAGCTGACTCTGGGCCGGGCAAGAGGAGCGGTTCGGGGGAGGGAGGGGGGCTGGAACCCAGACACTGGTGGTCCGGGGTACCTGTGGGAATCAGGGGACGGCCCCACGGAGGAGGGCTGGGGGATCCCTTACCCGGGGATGGTGCTATGGGAGCAGGGAAGGAGATGGCCCGTGGAAAAGGCTCCCCAGAGAGGCCAGGGGTTGCAGGGGCACAGACGGGGCTCCCTGACTCAGAGGGGTCTGGGGACCTGGAGCTAGGGGGAGTTGGGAACCCCAAGAGGGAAGGGTCTAGGCCAGAAGGACCAATAGAGGCTACTTCATAGACTCAGCACACGGCGCCCCAGGAAGGGGAACGTTACACTGAGTACTCGGCAGTGAACGCGTTATCGGGGGAACTGGCACGGGACTGAGGGCAAGGTGCCAGCAGGGCTGCGCTGTGCCACAAGGGGGCATGGCCCTGCCACAGGCCCATCTACCCCGGTATCCCGTCTCTGCTAGTGGCCAATGCCAGCTGCTCCAGGTGTAGGATGCCCCCTAGTGGACAATTGTGGAATAACCTGTTTCTAGGAGTCCGTTTTTTAAAAAACCACTCGGCGTTGGATGCTCTCCTTAGCCATAAGAGTGTCCAGTCCTGCTAAGCTTTTAATGTCAGCTGCATCCTGTGGCAGTGAGTTCCACAGGCCAGTTGTGCACTGCGTTGAAACAATAGCCTTTCCCTGGAGTTTTATGGCCTGCTCTCAGTGACTCTTGATAACCTAGTGCGACCTCCTGGTGGTTCTGGGTTTGGGCTGCAAATGCCCAGAACCGGACCCCTGACTGAGTTACTCCTTGTAACCCCTTGAGCTTCATCCTTAATGCGCCCTGGAGTTCTCCCGTTTGCCACCCCCCCACTACAGATCCTTCACCCGGGGTTAACTCCATGGCTGAATTGCTTCTGCCGGCCGCCAGGAGTCAGGGATGAGCCCAGGATGGGTGGAACCCAGGTCCGGGCAAGCCACTGAAATGGCTTCGTAGCTGTGTGTTTCTGGCACCGGAACTTAGCCCAAAGGTGGGTGGGGAACAGGATCAGGTCCTAACCTCAGGAGACTCCGGTTCTCTTCCCAGCCCTGCCACTGGGTGAACGTGGACAAGGCATTTGCCATCTCTGTGCCTCAGTGTCCCCTGCCGCAGTTACTGTCCTGTCTGTGTAGATTGCGAGCTGCTTGGGACAGGGCCTGTCTGTCCAGCGCCTGGCACCGGGGCCCTGGGCCGTGACAGGCTGGCAGGCACTATTGTAATGCACAGGATGGAGGTTTCTGCAAACAGTGACGTGATCTCCAGAGCCCGTCTGCTAGTTACAGACGAGATGTTTGTACCCTGGAAATAAAGGCTTGTTTCATCGCCATGGCTACTTGTTATTTAAACGCCTCAAATCCAGGGCCCAGTCCTGCAGCCCGTGGGCGGTTCGCAGCCCTCCACAGAGCTTGTCACCCACAGATCTCCAAGCTCTTTACAGAGGCGGGTATTGTCATCCTTCTCCGACAGAGGGGAAACTGAGGCACGGAGTAGGGACAGGATGAGCCCAGCTCCCTGGTGCAGTGAGCGTCTCTCAGAGCTGTGTACAGGCTACTTAATTTTAAATCCCCTTCCCTAGCTGGATTGCCCAGCCCCCAGCAGCTCTGCCCCCTGAAATTCGCTGGGCTGCCCTCCACACATGGTGCCCGGACTGGGGGTGTCTCTGTCCCTGCTGGAGCGAGGTCTCCCCTCAGCCAGTCCCTGCTGGGGAGGGGGAGTTCCCCGTCATACAGCTTAGTCTGTTCTCAGGTCGCTTTGGGGCTGGGGGAGGATGGATTCTCACCGTCCCAGTGAACACGAAACCAGACAGTGCAGAGCTCAGGGAGCTGCTCTTGGGGGTCTCCCCTCCATGAGGGTCTGGGGAGCTTTGTCCCACGGCACCGACGGTGGATCGGGCACTGTGGGGCGGGATGGGAGATTGGGGGTGATGAACGGGCAAAGTGCGCTGCTGAATGGGACCATCGGGGGAGTCGCTCACCCGGAGAGACGGATTGAGTCCAGCGTGGAGACCCCAGCATCTCTCCACCGGGCCGCAAGGTCTGGGACAAGGGGGGACCCCGTCACTGGTGCAGGCTGCCTGAAATGGGGGTGCTGGGTTGACCTGTAGGCTAAGGGCCCCCCAATATTCCAGGACACAGGCCTGCGGATTCCTGCTGGGTAAGCGAGCTCCGTCGGCTCCAACGTGGGAGGATGCCGGGGGGTTAGTGTGAATGGGGTCAGAGCGACCCCAGGAAAGATCCAACACCAGGCTGGGGTTTGTAACCCCAGAGCTCAGATCTGGTTCACCCTGGGGCAGGGACGGGAGCCGGCCGGGTACGGCTGGGCCCAGACACGCCTTTCCCCCAAGGTCTGGGGGGGTTGGATGGGGGGGGTCAGTACAGGCTGGTGCCCAGCTGGGTGTGGGTTCCAGACCGTCTCACCCTCCAGCACAGGCCCGGAAGCACCAGGAGGGTCCCACAGAACAGACACTATGGGGAGGCTACAGCCCCGATCCCCCTGCTGGGCTGGGGGTGAGGAGAGCGAACCCCCCCCCCCCTGCCAATGGGGGGAGGGTGGGCCCGGGGGGGGGCTGCGAGGGGCCCAGGAAACACCTGGAGGACGGGGGGTGGGGGCAGCTGCAGTGGAGAGGTGAGGGGGCCAGGAACACAGGGGACCCTCACCCCCCCCACTCTGCCTGCAGCCTGCCCTTCCTCCCACCCCTGTGATCCTCTGGGACTGTGTCGTTGTGTGGGGTGAGGCCGGGGGGTGGTTGCTGGCTGGGGTACGAGGGGGCGTTTGGAGGGAGGGGGTGAGCCTGGCCCATGGGCGACGGGGACTGACCCGTAACGAGGGAGAGGATTCTGGGATCCCCCTCACCCTCACCCCCTGCTCCCGGAGCCGGGCGCCCCTCTGGGGCTGGGCACTGGGGTGACTGTCGCTGTGGAGAAAGACGCTCAGGCAGGGGGCCTGGGATGGGGGATCATGGACCGGCTGGGCCCTGCCGCCCAGGGGAGCAGCATCCAGCCCCCAGTGCTGTGCGACTGGCTGAGCCAGAGCCCCCGGGGCAGCTGCTGCCGGGCCAGACCCAGACACTGGGGGCCAGTTCCCCGCCCTCACCCCCGGCTTATCCTAGAGCCCAGGGTGTCCGTCCCGGGGTAACCTAGGGGGTTTATACCCCCTGCTCTCGGGTGCGTTACAGAGCAGCTGCAGCCTCACACACGGATGAATTCGCAGCCCCCAGGGCGGTATTCCTGGTGTAGAGACGCCCCGGGACGGAACGTGACCAGGGCCCGTTTCTTCAGTGGGTCAGGAACAGGGCAGAACATGGGGCCAGGGAGTCCTGCTCTGACCACTAGCCCCCTCCTCTCCCAGAGCTGGGGAGAGAACCCAGGAGTCCTGGCTCCCAGCCCCCCCTGCTCTAACCCACCAGCCCCCACTCCCCTCCCAGAGCCGGGGAGAGAACCCAGGAGTCCTGGCTCCCAGCCCCCCCTGCTCTAACCCCCCAGCCCCCACTCCCCTCCCAGCGCTCCCAGCCCCGTCCCCTCGGGGGCTCGGCCTGCGGGACTCCCGGGACGCGGCTAAGGCTGCTCTGTTACCAGCCGCCCCGTCAAGCTGCCCGGGCGGGTTCTGCCCGGAGACCGGTGACGCGGCTGGCTCTGTCTGTCGCTATTGGCGGGACCGTCCCCTCTCGCCCAATCCCGGCAGAGGCTGAGTGCCCGGCGCTGCGCGTCGGGGATCAGTGAGCTGCGGGGGGGGGGGTGGCGGAGCGAAGGACCCCGCTGGGGATGGGGGGGCGGGAGACCAGCCTGTGTTTGTTCCTCCTCCTGCCCCTGGGGGCCCTCGCCGGCAAGGGACGGGACTCGCGTGAGTATCTGGGGTCCCCCCCGGGGGTGGGGTCCTGGGGCCGCTGGGATCGGGGCCCAGGCTGGGCTGGGTCGGGGGGGGCAGGGGTTCCCCAGTCACACGTGGGCTTGGCAGAATCGCAGGTTTATCGTGTGTCATTTTTATTTGTCAGCATTGTCAAATGGGTGTTGATTTCAGTGTTCACCGTGCTGGGAAATGGGGGTGTGGGGGGGCTGGGGGGGGGCGACAGACAATTATTTTGTGTCCACAGAGGTTAAGATTCGAAAAGTTCAAACTCGAACCGGCCCAACACCGACTGGCAACATCTGGGTCAGAGTTTGTGCAGCGCCCGGCGCGACGGGGCCCTGCCCCTGACTGAGGCCTGTGTGCATTACTGGGCCCTCCGACAGTGTGTGTGTGGGGGGGGTCACAGGGTCCTGGGCCCAGTGTGAGTGGAGTTGAAGGCTGCACAAATATAGGAAATGACCCTGAATGGGTGAGAGGTGTCCTCTCCGGACTCTAACCGCCAGCCCCCACTCCCCTCCCAGAGCTGGGAGAGAACCCAGGAGTCCTGGCTCCCAGCCCCCCCTGCTCTGACCCACCAGCCCCCACTCCCCTCCCAGAGCTGGGGAGAGAACCCAGGAGTCCTGGCTCCCAGCCCCCTCTGCTCTAACCCACCAGCCCCCACTCCCCTCCCAGAGCCAGGGAGAGAACCCAGGAGTCCTGGCTTCCAGCCCCTCCCCTGTTCTAACCATTACACCACCCTGCCCAGCCAGGTGTTTACCCTATGGGGGAGGTGCCACCCTCTGTGACACTTTCACTTTCCGTCTCCAGCTGGCAGACGGGCTCTGCTCGGTCCCAGGGGATGGGGCAGCCGATCCCTTGTGGGGCTTTCTCGGCTGGCCCAGCGCTTCCTGGGGCAAAGTCCCCAGAGTGAGGCCAGGGGCAGGGTGCGCCCGGAGAGTCGCTCTGTTGGGGAGCCCAGTGGAGAGCGTCCTGGCCGATATAGGGGGGAGAGTGACTGGGCTCAGCATGGCCGTGCCTGTCCCCCTCCCCCTCCCTCTCCTCCTGCTGGGGGTCTTTGCCGTCCCCGGGGGCTGTTCCTGTGAGTATTGGGGTGCTACCCCACAGCTCAGGGGGAGGGGCAGGATCCTGTCCCATTAGGGGCAGTGGTGTCCTGTGCTGAGGGGCGTCGAGGGGGATGAGCCAGGGGGCAGGAAATGCTTGTATTGGGGTGAGGGGCTTTGGGGCTCAAATCCAGACCCCCCCAGGGCCCCATTCTGCTCTCGGCCGCCTGGCTGTGAATCAGGAGCGAGCCGCTGAGACCGGGGCGGGTGTAAAACTAGTGCGAGGCCAGAATCGAGCCCCGGGTAGCTGGACACTGGCACCCCCCGACCCCTATAGCCGGGTGTCCCGGGGAGGGGTATGGCTGCAGGGAGTGGGGATCCCTGCCAGTTGTTACCGGGGGGGGGGGGGACAGGGGGCAGGGCGCTCGTCCCAGCTGGGCTCAGCTCCTGACCCGAAGGGGGGGGGGGGGTCAGAGTCAAACCACCAATGTTTAACCCTTTCCCCGCTGTCTGTGTTTGTGGGAACCTCCAGTTCAGGGGCAGCCCTGCCCCACTTCCTTCCCCACGACATTAGGCATGTCACGACCTCTGGCTATGCCTCAGTTTCCCCTCCCATCCCCCCCCTTTGCCCCTCCCTGTTGGATACTGGATTTTGCGGTGACGGCTGCTGCTCCCCCGACACCCTGCCTAGCCCCCCCCCGTGGTCTCTCGCCCCCATCTGGCGAGCGCCCAGCGCGAGGTGGGTGAGGCTGCCAGACACTAATTGCTGCTGTTAATGAATGTTTATGGGGACCAGAAGTCAGGATGAGGGGCCTGGTCATGCCAGGCACTGCACGGACCCTGCTCAACTGAGATTGGGCCCCC